TTAACAGGACTGAAACAGCTATGCATGGGAATTCATGGGGCGATATGTGACTGTACGCATGTGAAAGGCATTATAACCACACCTCAGGCACGGTGTACCAAAATTCCTCTAACCTCTCATCCTTAGTTTTACAAAGAGAAAAACTCTTTTCTTTCCTTGATTGTGTTCAAATGTGCTCAAGAACCAATAAAGTACCAAATAATATTTATTGCAAAGGTGACTTTCTCAATCTGAACATGTATTCTAATACTTTAAATCAAAGTGAAAAAACAGTAGATAAAGAGAATTAAAACAATTTACAGTGAAATGGTCAAATCTTCGTTTAGATTTGTATTTCTGCAGTTCACATCATCTTCATTCTAAGAATAAAAACGGTTTAATGGCATGACGACAATAGGAATGATTATTCCAAACATGTGATGTTTTGTTTACGAAGTTTAACAGATTGATTATAAGGACTTTGATTTGGCAAATAGCCTTTGGGAGAGTAAAAAGATAATTTTTAAGATATTCACTATATATGCTATTATGATTTAGCTATGATTAACGATACTTTTGCCTCCCTTAATGATTAAAATGTTGTTACTCTGTTACAATAGTCATCAATTATTCATTATAATGTTAAAAATTGTACCAAAGGGAGGGGAAAACATATCAACAACAACAACAAAAACAACTGACACGTACAAAACAAAAAAAAGAACACAAAACGGAAAAATATTATTAAAAAATCGATTTCCCTTTTGTTATAGCACAAAAAGAGAAAGATCCTTGCGTTTGCGACCAGAATGCACTTAAAGAAAACAATGAAGGAACGAAGAAATCTAAATGTTCTCAAAAATGTAGCAGCTCTTGCCAGGAAAACAAGAAATGTAAAGAAGCAGATAAGAAAAGTCAATGCAAGGAAAAAGCACAACCATGCAAAGACAAGGATCAACTAAGGAAATGTGAATGGAAGAATCAAAACGACAAACCCAAGAAATGCAAAGATGTTCAAAACAACGAGAGTGCGAAGAAATGCAACTGCAAATGCAAAGAAGGGGAAGCCAAACAGGCCATTCCCAAGCCAGGTGCCATTGCAGCTGCCCCCGGGTCCGTGCAACCTATGAATGGTATAGCGGTTCAACATGGCTTTGGTAAAAAGGTGAACAATAGTAAGAAATGCTGCTGTGATTGTTGCCACGATTGCTGCCACGATTGCTGTTGCGATTGTTGCCACGATTGCTGTGACTGCTGTCATGATTGCTGCTGTGACTGCTGCCATGATTGTTGCTGTCACTGTTGCGAGCCATGCTGTTGTCACTGCTGCCATTGCTGTGAGCCATGCTGCTGTTGTTGCCATTGTTGCGAGCCATGCTGCTGCCACTGCTGCCACTGCTGTCACCATTGCTGTCCATGCTGCTGCGGCTGCGGCGGCTGCGGCTGCGGCTGCTGTAAGAAGTCCAAGTCACAGCTTAACTCCGATGCTTTGGCTGCTGCGGCAGCGATTGCTGCCAACCGCCCAGAGCATCACTAAGGAAGGCCAGTAATCCTCGTTAAATAATAGTTGAACTGATCTAGCTTATTGTTATTTCCGCCAAAATCCATCTTACAGGTGGCTTAACAGATAAAAACTCCATTGTGTTTGCATAAGTTGTTATTAATTTAATGAATATCACAGACTGAGCTTCGATTGGCTCCAAAAAACTTGAAAGATCAAGGTTAAGGGAATATTTTTACACGGGTCTAGAGAAAGCGGAAGTACCGTCAAGTTTTTAAACCGTTTCAGGAGAAATGAATTACTTGAAACAATTTAGGATTTAGGACGTTTCACTGTATTGCGTTGCCTACAGCGAGAAGGCATGTACACTGTAGCTGCCACGCAAACTTGTTGGCAGGTTCAAGAAAGCTAAGACTCATTTTTAAGAGTAATGACATCTCCTGCGACTCGCTCGTATTTTACCTCCTCTTCCGGCAGGTGTCTCGAAATCTACCCGGTGTATGATGTTGTTTTATATAAGATAAAACTTTTTCCGGACTTCCCTCAGGGAGTGCCGGCAATAATTTATATCATTGATGTTGAATTTAATAAAGCAAAGTGAAGTGTTCCCACTTATAATACATCACTTTTTCTTGGTTATCACTTTTATTTAATGATTTTTAAGCTCAGTAGTAATAAATTATCGATATTGTCAAACAATCAGTTAGAGCAAATAAATGCTTGTAAGGTGCTGAAAAATTTCTATCATTTTTCATTTCCTTTCACATGTATTTTAACACATGTATGTTTATGTCCTTACGCAGACTTTAAGGATGCGCAACGGCAGTTAAAAAGTTACACACACACACACCCACATTGGCACGCAACAGTTTCTTCCCTTTTTTCCTGGACGAAGGCAAGCCAAATCTACATAAATCTTCACCATAACACTCCTTTTCAGAGTAAATGCCCCCGATCTTGTGCAAGAATATCGCATCGTTTCCGGTAAATAAGAAAAACTACATTTACTTGACATAAAATTTAGCCCTGAGTTATTGAATGAGCCTGAGTATGTTCAGAAGAATTATGTACGCCAAGTAGGGTGTTATCTGCGTGGAGACAAAACCGCTCAAGCTCTGCATGATTCTTCAAATCATAAAAAAGCCGAATCCAATTTTTAAATATTTCATTATTCATCCAAAATATTCCTTACTCTAGACACTCAAACTATGTTAAGTTCTCTGTCTTCATTATTTTCCTTTTCCTCGGCAAATTTAAGAGTCATATTTTAAAAGTGTTATATTGTCATCAAAAAATTTGCTTAGTCTTCCCTTGATTATGGGCAGTCGTTCGACTATTTCGCCCTTACAAAACCGACATTTTTCTGCCATTTTCTCAGCTTCCATCAAAACAGCCGAGCTTAAAGAAAAATTAATACCTTGTCCCCAAGGCTTCTCAATTGTCACCCCTTTTTTTGGCGAAAACCCTCGCTATCGACTGCGATCATGTTACTAGATATCGCAAACTTCCTCCAAATTTGGTCAAAATTTGCTGCTTATTATGGAGCTGAATTAGCCGAAAATAATTTGAAATAAAAAAATTTGGCTGAATGAATAATAATGAATTTACGCTTCCAGTTTGGAAATATTCTTCGAATTAATAAATAAATGATAAATCTAGGATATTGTAGATGTCTTCCTAACATCAATAAAGGTGCGCAGATTGTTGGACATGTTGTGATCCTTTTGTGACTGGCCTAAATTTCAACTGCATTCGATTTTTTTAATGGTCCTGTTAACAAGAATTGGTATATTTACATGCCTGAAATGGGTTCAGAGACACTATTAGACCTATGCAGTTGTAGTCCAGTCATTCTGTAGTCCTGTAACATGAAAATATGACATATCATTACCGAAAAGTGTTGAGGCTATAACATGTATTATATGGCTACAATTATAGCACGTGCGCTCTTATTAGCTGTTTTCTTGAAATGACCTGGCATTATTTTCTTTTAATGACCAGGCGTTACTATCTAGGTGTCCAAGGCAAATACAATCTGTGTTTTACTTGATAGTGTACATCCTTATGGACATCCATGTTATGGTCAGCTGACAACTGTCAAAAAGAATATCCACTGAGCAGAGTCACCTGGCTGCACACCAGTTGTTGGTTTTAATTGATCACAGGTTCAGGTCCATAATGAAAAGGCCATATAATAAATAACTTATCAACCTCGTCTGTTCGGTCATCACTGGGAAATCTCAGACCTCGGCTTCGATGTATTGAGGTCAATACGGTCTTATATTTCCCTGTAATGACCTCACTCTCGGTTAATAAGTAGTGTGTAATCAGTAATCAATACACATTAACATGAATTATCTTCCACTCTTGTTCTTCTGTCCATTTACGCCTTGGTAGTTAGTGGTAGATGTCGTCTTATAGGCTGCGAGTATTCTCTTACATTTCTTTTCAACGTTACTCCATTGGTATCGCATGTACGAGATCCGCGATGAACGAGGGCGTAACCTCGTCTACTTCACCACCCCTTTTTGTAACGGCGTTGTTTGCAAACGTGTTTACTGGGATGAGAACTCGACGGATTTAGAAGAAAAGACGGACTACAAACAGTCTATTTAGTATACGTAAAACAATGGTATCAGCTCCGGTATCAACAATGTGACTTCGTTGCATAGAGCAATAATAATACAATACGATCATCACAAATAACAAAGAGAATAAGGAGCAATTCCTTTCTCTGGGCATGTCAGACTCGAAAAGCCCAGGAAACTTTGGCGCCGCGTTAGCAGATGTTTGAACAGCTGACAAAAGAAGCAATGGACTCTAGGAGCTCCGTGTAACCAGTGAGAACGAGTGAGTTAGAGGTCGGTCAAAGAGATTTGACAGAGGAAACTTTCATCTTCTACATAATTTTGGATTGTTTTGCCTATATGCTCCTTTGGTGATCAAGCTGCAGCCTTTACGTTCACTCGCAGGTCACGTGATAGTTAGGTTAAACACCTGAAGAGAACTCAAGTATCCCGCTTTTTGAATCAACAAATATATCAGGTGTTGGTAATCCATTAATAGGTTTTTTTTATCCATAATGGGAAATTCTTCCTTTACAAAATCAATCGCTAACAATCGAAATCCATTGTGTATTGGCGCGCAAGTCATTTAGAGTGAAACGATCATACTACTGTTGACATTTCTTTCAGGTTGCTTTTAACATTGGAACGCCCCAGAGCTGGTAAGGGCAGTTCGAAATGGCTTCAATTGGAAGACTTAACCTGTTTCTGCTTATCAGTTTTCGTGGGTCATATTATAGGTATTTCTTGATCGTGACAATCTTTGTTAATGGACAATTCACCTTAAAATGTCGTATGTTCATAGCACATCGGAAAGTACCGGAGAAACTGAACCGAAGTCCGTACGACAGGTCACCAGCTTCTTTTGATCATTTAAAAATAAATTACATCATAGAGGCTGCACGTTAATTTTAGATTCACTATTCGTGCGTTGGAGTTTGTTTTGTGTCTTCACCATGAAGGTGGCGGCGATCCTGTGCTTATTTTTATTGACTCTTGTTTCGGCACCTGTGTGGGGTAGATCAGTAAAAACGAAAGATGGTAAGAAAATATCTTTTCTTTATTACTTCAAAAAGGGCCGTACTGTGGCAATCTTGGAAAAAATTTGAACTTTCGTTTGTGTATCTATAGGCTAACAAGGCAATATATGCCAAGGAAATATACTTAACAGAGTTTTTTCTAGTACGTACTTATATAAACTCTATTAGAATCTTAGTGTAGCTACCACCCTTCCCCGTGACGGTATTGTTTTCTATCTATACCACCTACTGTTTAGTAAGATGTTTATTTGCAACTGAAATCATCAAGCAAGAGATGTTTGTGCATTTCAAATGTTTTAATGCCTGTACTTTTAGTTTCACATTACATGCCACACATAGTAAAAAATCGCGGCATCCCCGGTTTTACGCTGTTAAACGCCTCGAATACGTAGACCTGAATCGGGACAACAAATAATGTCTATCGAGATTAAGATGTCGTCGGGCTATACTTAAGTTTAGGAAGAAAATCTGTAAAAAGTAACTACAATGAAACCGTTTATTTGAGGTGGTAATTGTACAATCATCTCTGTATTTCCGAGTTGCCTTACTTTTTTTGAGTAAATTTATTAATACAAATAAGAGAAGAAAGTATTGAAATTAATAAAAAAGAAAAATTGAATCGACACACAGTAACTGGTTGAATTGTTTTTCTTATGTAAAATATGTATAAATTGTTTTGTTTTTCTTTTGAATTTTAGCTACTGAATTAAATAGAAGTGAAACTAAGGATTCACGTGAAAAAGAAGAGTCAAATGGAGGTACGAAATCTCGATTGCCTCTGCGAGAGTCTTTCAGGCGGTGTCATAAATGCTAAGAAGTCCACCCTTTTTACAATATGTAAAAGGTAGTCTTATAGAGCAGAAAGAGCTGCGATGAAAGAAAAGCTAGATTCTTAACAGTTAACCACAAGTACTGAGGGCGATTAGAAGGATGAAAGAGCTACGTTAAAGATATTTTTAAATCGTGTTATATAACCGTTTTCCAGGAATACTGGTCAGTGAACAACACGCCTTGAGCTTGAGTGATAGCTAGCAGTTAATATAATCAAATTCAATGAACTGTACCTCTGGACAATTACTTGAGTCGTCGAAGTCTTAACAGTGCTCAAATAACTAGTTTAACAGCCTCTGCATGGCTTTTATCAACGTATAGAAGTCGAGCCTTACTCCAAAGCGTAGGTCGCTTTTGCATGATGTGTGACTGCATTTGTTCCAGCAGCGTCTTTTTTCTCAGCCCTTGAGGTGCATGCGAGTTGCACAGAAAGCCGCCAGGAAGGACTGTATATAATAAATATCCAAAAAAAGCTGTTATAGTTTGTAGAGCGTACCTCTTTCGCATTGTTTTCCATGTTATTTACATAGATGGAGGCTGCTTGCCCTAGCGGTCCGGTTAGTGCGCTGGAATTGTAATCCGGAGGCCTCGGGTTCAATGCCCTCCTTAAACGCAAGCTGGATATACTCTCGTTAGTCCTGAGTTCGATCCTCAGTCACCCTTCTAAATAAAGAACTCGGGTTTGCCTCAGGCGAGTTGGGATTCTTAACCTTGTGGGCCACAATGAAAACTATTAGTTAACCATTCATTTTGCGACCTCAATAAAGTAAATTTTTGAATGCATTTTATAAAGGCTAGAAGGAACAAATTCGAGTGTGCGTTAGCATTGCTGGTACTTACCCAATTGAAATGAGCTATTCTTGTACAAGGGTCTATGCGTACCCTCCTCCACAAAATTAAGACTTCTTAAGTTAATTTCCCCTAAAAGTGGGACCCTGTTATTCATTTTTCGAAATAGCACCTGCAGATCGCATTGTAGTAGTGTCTGGTAAATATTTCGTCTGGCAAAAAGGTTTTATCCCAGAAATGCCTGAGAGAGCAGTCAGAGAGTGTTCTGATACATTTACACATGCTACAATTATTAAGAAACTCAGTGCTCCTGAGACAATTCTTTCCCGTAAAAAGTACTGTGTCAACAACAGGGACCAACACATGTTTCAGACACTTAATTTCAACCTTTATTTTTTGATACAGAAATCAGCGATGCTCAGAAGGATGCCGAGGCAAATAAATGCACTTGCGAAATTCCAGAAGATGACAATCAGCAGAAATCAAGATGTGAAGAAAAATGCGATTGCTCCAAACAGGATACCAAAAAGTGCAGGATAGATACAAAGAGCTGCAACTGCGAGCCAGGAAGTAAAAAGAAAAACATTCAGTGCCAGAAAGAAAAAGATGGGTTGAAAGGAGTTGACACAAATACAAATGCTACCAAGAAATGTAACTGCCAATGTAGTGAAAGGTCCAGAACGGGAAAGGCAGCTTTTGCCCAAATGTCCGATGACCCCTCTGTCTTGGCTGTTGCACCACTATCTCCGCAAACCAACATTGGTCAGGGAATGCGCAAAGGAAGAGGATCCAAGAAGTGCTGCTGTTGCGACTGCTGCCATGATTGTTGCTGTCACTGCTGCGAACCTTGTTGTTGCTGCTGCCACTGTTGCGAGCCATGTTGCTGCTGCTGCTGTCACGAGTGCTGCTGCCCATGCTGCTGTCACTGCTGTCATTGCTGTCCATGCTGCTGCCATTGCTGCTGCAAGAAATCGAAACCGTCCGATCAAATGCCTCAAGCGATCAACCCACTGATAGCTGGAGCTCACGCAAAGCCACAGCATCACTAAATGCACCCTTAAGTTTCAGAAAAGAGGTTAATGGTTGCACAACCATCACTACCCGTTATTAACAAAATGTCGCCGAAAAAAACTGTTATTGCTACATTAAAAGATACTTAACATTTGTAGTGGATATTCAGAAAAAAATAAAATCTTTGTTCTTATCGTAATTTTGTAGCCTTTTCTGCCGAAAGTTGCGAGAACGAGCTTACACATTCTTTCGAACAAATTGCAATCACATCAACTTTGTTTGTTTGTTTGTTTGTTTTTTTTTCATTAGTTCTTTGCTTCTAAAATGGTTGTGTCTTCGTTTACCAGACGAAACACGTTTCGTTTTCTTCACATAAAATCACGACAACCTTTTTCTTTGGTTAGGAAAAAATTTGTGTCAGCTTATTAGAATTTTAAAAAAATGTTAAATCCACCCTAAGAGCGTATTTTAGCAGGAAATGTTGTGGCGGTCGTAACGGCTGTGGAAAAGTTGGATAATGCTATCTACCAGGCCCCGGTTGTTGAAGCGTTGGATAGCGCTATCCATCGGGTAAGAATCTATCCACTGGATAGCGCAATTGGTTTTCCTAATACGTATCCGCTGGATAGAGATTTATCCGGTAGATAGCGCTATGTAACGTTTGAACAACCGGGGCCAGATAAATAGCGATAGTTGTTAAACCTTGGGCGAACCAGTTATGTTGTGCTTGGGATAAAGATTTATTCTCAGTAGGTGGCACTGTCCAGCTTTTGAGAAACTGGGGCCTGGTAGTATTCTTCATCTTCAGCTAGACACCAAAGGTACATTGGGCTTCACAAGAGATGAGTTTTGTAATGTTTTTTAAAACACGTTTTAAAAAAATGGATTTACTGAAGACACATAGGGATATACCACGGATGAGCGCAGGTGTCTTTTTATATGTAGTTTTGCATTGCGGTCGAACTCGAAACCATCCCTATCACATTATCTGGACACGTACCGAAGCTTAAAGCTTAAAATAATTAAGGCTACACACAAGCGCTGTATCAAATCTTGGAAGAATTTTTCGTCTACACATTTCCAACAACCAAGTTTGTTGCACCGTTTCCTTAACACCAAAATGACAAGAAACGACAGAGTAAACCATTTTTTACAATATTGGCAAGATGGGCGTGTATAGATTGTTTAAGTCTTTAGATGAAAACAGGTGTTGAAGAAATGATAATTGCCTTAACTGGTACCTGCATAAAGGTCACTTTGTTTTAACACACGTCCATATGATATGAGAAATTGATTTTAAGTTTGTTTTTCCAAATAAGTAACAATAAATTTGGCACACATACAATTTGTTAAAGCGATAAATAACAACATGACCGAAAACATGACCAATTCTTAGCGGATGGGCATGGAAATTTTATCCCACCCATTTCTTTCAATTGTTTGGAAAATGATGTAGCAATTCCCATTGAAATCTCTCATGAGGTTGTTCGAAAACCACAGAACTGACTAAACTACCGAGTTTAGACCTTTCCGCAAAGATCAAGAAACTAGCTGATTCTGTGGTTGGAATGTTTTGCCCAAAACGGAAATGCTCAGCTAGACTGTTAAGGCGTTTATTTTATTTTATGACAAATAAGTAGCAACCGATATCTCCTCAAAACTTCCTCTTCCCTTGCTTTATTCTTGTTCCTCATTAAACTCCCAAAGTATCTGTTTTAAACAGTCATTCACAGTTAGTCACATCCATCGTGTTGATCAATTAATTGCTCTATCACCGCAATTATGGCCTTTGATGTTCAAATTGCCCCTTTCATTCTAAGAATCAGCAGTAAAAACAATAAATAAACACTTATTTTAAATTAAACTTGTTATCACTTTTAGTAGTTATGTTTAACAGCTTTTCACATTTTGCTACCTCAGCTTTGCGGGAAAATTGTGACACCCGTCAAAGTTTCACTTAAACTGCTAAATAGAAGCCTCTCTTTAATTCGCGGGCGCGTTCGGCGGGATATTCAGGTGTCTTTTTATCGCTTGAATGAACAAGAAAACCTAAAGAGCAAGCTCTGCAAATTTAATAAAAAAGGAGGCAAATCTCACGCAAGGGCCAGTGACTGGAATGTGGTTTTCATTTTCATTATTGTCGTTGATGGGGAAGCGATAGTTGAAAAAAAATATGATACAAACTTTAGAGAGATTTAGCGTGAAATGGGGAAACTAAATATTTAACATTGTTTCCAAATATGGAAATAATGAGTTGTCACCCTGTTTACTCATGATCAGTCATCCAGTCGAACAAAAGAAGAAGTAATCGTACAATAGAACACCCTAGCCAACCAGATTTCAAATAGTAAATATTTTAAATCTTACCTAATTTCAAGTCATTTTCGAGAATCATAGCTTATGAGACAATAGGACGAAGCGAGGCGAGTTAGTAACGTTGTTTACGATATCTGAATTAGTTGCACCTGAGGCTTAGGAAAACAACGCAGCTAAAGATGATGAGGACTACCGCACTATTGGTAGTTTTCACATTATTCGTTATCTTCTATGAAGCATCGGCAGTACCCGTCGCATCGTCATATAATTTAGAAAATGAAAATGTTATGGACGTAATGGAGGCCAAGGAAAAGAGCGAAGAGGCTGGAGATGATGAGAAGGAAGATGAGGAGTCCGAAAAAGAGGATAAACATGATGATGAAGAAGATGAGGAGAAAAAAGATGACAGTCCAAAAGATGATGAGGATTCCAAAGATGATGAAGAAAAGAAAGATGAAAAGGAAGAGGATGAACAGGAACCTGACATAAACGAGGAGCAGAATGATAGCGAGTCTTCCGGCGAGGAGAGTGTTGATCTCGACTCTGATCATCTTGTGCTCCAGGGAAGTGGTAGCGGAAAAATCAAGGGCGTAGTGATCGACGATTCGGAGAAAGAAAAGGACAAACCTGAGAAGCGATCAGTGGACAGTCAGAAGAAGTCAACAAAAGCAACCCAAGGTTAGATTAACATTGCTCGTTATTTCAATTGTTTCCAATAATGTCATGTTAATTGCAATTGTTACGTAAATTGAGAAACAAATTCACGATCAGACAACTCAACTGGGAAAGTTTAAAATGACAAGCTGGCCACCAAAATAAAAAGGCTATTTGCGTACATTTGGGCCTTCATTTGGATAAGACTTTTAATTCCTGGAAGTCAAAATAAAGAATTAAAGATAAAATCAAATTGTGAAGACAAAACTATTAATATTTTATATCACTTTTACGCATCGCGGTTGTTTTGACACCTGAATTTAGGTCAGTTTCCAAACAAATCAAATCTTTTTCTGTATTTATATTGGTGACATATTCAAGCATCAAAGTTAGTTCTTTCAACGCGATTCTACGTAAGTTTAAATATTAGAGGTTGATAAATTGCCCTTTTGTTTGTTGAAGCGTTAGACTATTACCAGTTTACGGCCACCTGTTAAGATGAAACTACCTTGCTTGTTCACAAGTGAATCGCGTTCGGGTTTGCCATGTTCGGGTTTAGACAGCGAATTTCAGTTTAATTTCTTGCTATGAAATAAATGAATTAATTTTAGTGTCATAAAGATAAAGCGAATGACGTGGAATGGGCTTTATATCATCAAAGTCCCTTTCACTGACTCGTGATGTCGTAAACTGATAAAATCAAAATATGAAAAATGAATAAGAGAGCACAGTAAGTATGGTTAAGAGCTGATCTGGACTAAAAATTGAAACAAAGAGAAAGGGAACTGTCCTCTACAATTATAGTGGTGGTTTTCTTAGTCTTACCTATTATTTTTAGACTATGGAAAAATATGGTTGTGTGTCCATAATTATTAATTTACAAATAACCTATTCATGGACAAATGTTAATCATTTTAAAGCAAGACGGGCAAAAAATTTACATTCGGTTCAAAAACGTAGAGACAACATAAACAAACATAACAACAAACTAAATAGCAGTTTGAAATAAGACACACCTTGCATGAACTAATGATATAAATTTGCATGTTATATTTTTGCATGTTGCATGATCCTATTTGCATGACACAGTCCAGGGTAAACGTTGTGGTTGCTGGGGTGAAGCAGGAGAGGGGTGTGGCTGCGGCAATTGCTGCGGCGGCTTCGAATGTCCTCACACTTGCGGAGGCTGCGGATGTGGCTGCTGCCCGCAGCTTAACTTTCCAGTTACGTTTGGTGCATGTGTAAACAATCCTTGCTGTGAATGTTGCCAGAAAAAGCCACCGAAAGGCAAATGTCAGTGGCCTTGCATGTGGCCATGTTGCTGCGAATGCGATCCTCCTAAGTTTAAATTCACGCCATTGAAGCCCAAGCCGATGTGCCACTGTCCTAACGGTCATGGATCTTGCTGCGGAAAGAAAAGCCAAGGTGAGTTCATCTCTTTGCTGTTATTTAGATATCCATACCAACCTATGCACGTTAATTAAATTTTTACATGTTTATTGACGCAAAGTTAAATTCTCATTTCTGGAAAGAAAAGTAGATCTTAGAAGACTGAATTCATCAGTCAAAAATCGACTGACCAGACCATTTCAGGCTCTGAGTATTTAACGTATATGATAAAGTGATTCCTGTGGCAAGTTGTGAGTAAAAAACTCAAACCAAGGAGAAGAACGTATTGAACAGATTAATTCAATGTGATTATCGTTTTGCAAGCTGTGTTTGACTAAAGTTAAAAGACTATTGAAACGCAGAGATCGATATCTTATCTTTAAAGTAAATACAAGGTTAAACTGAATGTAATAGTGGTCTTATGATTGTTCATATAATTCCACAACGCAGGTCCAACCAAAAGAAGCGCCGTTGAAAAGAAATGCGGCTGTGGCGGCTATGGCGGCTGCGGTGGCTGCGGAGGATGCGGTTGGGGATACGGATATGGTGACTGGGATCATGGTTACGGATACGGATTAGGACCTTGGGGTGGATATGGCGGATATGGACCTTGGGGTTATGGATCTTTTGGAGGCTACTTTCAC